CCAAGCCATGGTATTTTCAATCACCTCATATGCATGTGAATGGACAGTAAATAAGGAAGACCATAGAAGAATGGATGCTTTGAAGTTATGGTGTTGGAGGAGAATATTGAAAGTGCTATGGGCTGCCACAGGAACAAACAGATCTGTGTTGGAAAAAGTGCAACCAGAGTGTTCCTTGGAGACCAGGATGGCCAAACTTCATCTCTCATACTTGGGACATATTGTCAGGAGGGACCAGTCACTGGAGAAGGAGATCATGTTTGGTAAGGTGGAGGGTCAGAGAAAAAGAGGAAGACCCCCAGCGAGAGGGATTGGGAAGGTGGCAACATCAATGTGTTCAAGCATGGCAACAATAGTGAGATTGGCCCAGGATCAGGCAGTGTTTCGTTCTGTTGTGCATAGCGTCGCTATGAGTCAGTACCAACTCAACGATACCTAACAACAACAACAAACCACATCAGGACTCTGACTACATATAAATGCATACATTTTTCCCCCTAGAGCCAGTTAAGCATATGGACCCATGTTGCGCTGGTTTGTAATTAGGACTAATGAGTCTGTGTGGCAAGATGAGTTCCTTGGTGCGGCCTTTTTTTTCCCTTGGTTCTTTGGTAAAAACAACTTAGGCGATTCTCCCACTAAACCCTGAGGAGTTGCCTTTGCCCTAGTTCTTTGGAGAATTGCCCTGGGGGTAGTGGTGGTGTGACCGGGCTACTTGTCTTCCTCAGAGTCCTGCACACAGGCCCCATGCATACACTACTTGTCGTCCAGGCAACTCCCCGGAATGAGCGACATGTCCTGGGTAAGCCGCGACGAAAATCCTGCTGGTTGGATACTTTCTGTCTGGCCCCTCCCTGACTGTCGCGTCTGTCTGGTAATTTGTCTATTTTATGCACCTTGCAGTAACTGGTCGATTTGCTATTTAAATAGTGGCTTGAAAATGCACTCAAAAAGATTGAGTAACTTGTTTGTAGAGGGAATTGGTTGGTTTGTGGTCCTCCTGAGAGGGTGGGAGGGTCATGCCTTATAAGTGACAAGGAGTTTGCTTTTATAAGCAGCCAGCCCACATAGGTTTAGAGAGAGGGTGGGGAGGGAACCTGAAAACCAAGAAGAGACTGAAGTGGTGCAGTCTGGACCCGGGGTTCACGTGAGGAAGGGTTGTAACTCTCAGGGCTAGTATTGTTATTGTTATGTGCCATCAAGTTAGTTGTGACCCAGAGCAACCCTGTATAGGGTGTCCAAGGAGCAAGTGGTGAGCTTGAACTCCCGACCTTGCGGTTTAAACCAACTTTGCAATCCAGAACATTAGCCCACAGTGCCACACCAGGACTCCAAAGACTGGTATAGCTAGAGATAAACAAATTTATTTTCAACAACTGACCAACAGTTAGGAAAGTCTACTTCTAGGGTGTGGAATACTTAGTTTCCATCTAAGCGTGTTTAATCATTTATGCTCATGGTGGAAGGGTACGCTGGACCAACCTAGAAACTTATGGACATTGCTAAGACTCCGTAGTTTAATCACAAGCACTAGATAGCAGGAAAACTCTTGTACAGATGTCCCTGAAGATATCAGTGAGAATCACTGTAGTATTGTTGCTTGTAAAACGAAATCTGGAAATGAACTAAATAATCAACTGTTGAATGAAAAATTACTTTGTTGCTTATTTATACAATGAAATATTATATTTCAATGAAAAAGGAATAAACTATAGCTTAGTGCATCAATATTGATTCTTTAGTGTTGGTTGAATCAAGCAACACATAATGAAGCAACATACAAAAGAATATTAATTACAATTAATTACATAAATTCCAATTACATAATTCCAGCAGAGGCAGAACAAAGAAATATCTATTTGTTGTTGTTGTTGCTGTGTTTAGTGGTATCTCTCTCTCTGTTGTTGTTGTTATTAAGTACTGTGGAGTTGGTTCCGACTCATAGCGACCCTGTACAGGGTTTCCAAGGAGCAGCTGGAACTTCCTGGCCTTAACGGCCCAAACCGATGGTGCATTTTACCACATTAACTGGCTACATCACACCAGAAATCCATATATATGTTATTGTTGTTGTTAAGTACCGTGGAGTCGGTTCAGACTCATAGTGACCCTGCACAGGGTTTCTGAGGCTGCAAATCTTTACGGGAGCAGAAGGAACAGCTGGTAGTTTCAAACTGCCGACCTTGAGGTTAGTAGCCCGATTCGTAACCACTACGCTACTATATATATATATATATATGTTGTTGTTGTTAAGTGCCATTGAGTCAGTTCCAATCCCGTGGAGCAGCTGGTAGTTTCAAACTGCTGACCTTTGGGTTCGCAGCCCGATTCGCAACCACTACGCTACCAGAGCTCTCTCTCTATATACATAGCCAAACTATTTTTCTAAAAAAGAAATGATTAGCAAAAAAACAAGGGCAGCAGTTACTCCTTGAAGTAGGGAGGATAATGGATAATGCAATTGACAAGGAGCACACAGGTACTTTTTTCAGGTATTAGTATTTTTCTAGAAAAAGTTCTTCTGGGTGGTAATCAGCACCAGTTGCCATTGAGTCAATTCTGACTCATGATGATCCATGTGTGTCAGAGGAGAACTGTGCTCCACAGGATTTCCAGTGGCTGATTTTTATAAGTAGATCCCACTCATGGTGCCCCATGTGTGTCAGAGTAGAACTGTGCTCCACAGGATTCTCAGTGACTGACTGTCAGCAGTAGATGACCAGGCTTTTTTTCCACGGTGCCTCTGTGTAGACTCCAACCTCCCACTTTTGGGCTAGCAGTTAAACACACTATTTGTACCACCGGGGACTTCTCCCAAAGTGCAAGGATTAGTAAGGCATGTATTTCATTTTTATTAACTGAATTGTATGTTAATTTTATATATTATCTGCCACATGTGATATATTTCACAATAGAAGAAAAACCCAAAAAATGCCAGAAAAGTATAGAAGACATGGCTTGGTAGGGTTAGGTTTGAAACTATCTATCATTAACACTCATCATAGAGATTATATCTGACCCATAGCTTTGCATTTCTTTGTGGGGCATCAGGTATCACATGGAGTCCTAATTAAAGTCTACTGCTGCTTACCATAGTACAGACAGGAATGTGGATAAAACAGGCGAAACCCCTCAAAATGACCTCCAAGGTAGAAAAGAGGAGAGAGCTGCCAATTGAGATTTGTGCTTATGGTTTACCACATGGATGGTTTTAGCTACATTGCACATTAGTTGGAGAGAGGACTTCCAGAGGATTGGCTACTGGACACCTGTCCATGAGGGATGGGCAGCAGGAACTGATGGGTGGGCTAGGTTCAGCCTTTTTACCGTCTCTTCTCATTCTGAACATTCTTCCTCTGTGATCTCTTTCTTCCTAGTTCGTATTTCTACTTTAGGAGATGATTTCTAAATCTGAATCTCCACTGTGTGTGTGTTATCTAGTAGGTACTTTAACTCTACTAAAAGGTATCAGCTCAGAATGCAGTAAGACTAAGTGTTGTCTTAGAGTTTGTTGTTATTAAGTGTTGTCCAGTCGGTTCTCATAGCAACCCTGTGTAGTGTTTACTCATGGAACACTCATAGAAACAGTCAAAAAATCAAATGACATATTGCATTAGGCAAATCTGCTGTGCAAGACCTCTTTAAAGTGCTCAAGAGTAAAGATATCAGTTTGAGGACTATGGGGTGCCTGACCCAAGCTGTGGTATTTTCAATTGCCTCACATGCATGTGAAAGTTGGACAATGAATAAAGCAGACTAAATTTGAATTATGGTGCTGGAGTAGAACATTAAAAGTACTATTGATGGCCAGAAGAACAAATCTGTGTTGGAAGAAATAGAACCAGAACGCTCCTTAGAAGCTAGGATGGCAAGGCTTCCTTTCTCATACTTCAGACATGTTATCAGGAGTGACCAGTCCTTGAAGAAGTACATGCTTGATAGAGTAAATGGTCAGTGAAAAAGAGAAAGACCTCCAATGAGGTGGACTGATACAGTGTCAGCAATAATGGGCTCAGATGTTAACAATTGTGAAGATGGCGCAGGATGATGGGACCATATCTTGTTCTATTGTGCATACGGTACTTATGAGTTGGAGATGACTCAATGGCACCTAACAACAACTTAGGGTTTCTGAGGAGTGGCTGATGGGTTTGAATCAATGATCTTGAGATTAGTAGTCCAGTGCTAAATTTTGCTTAGAGATATCATCATTTGGGATCCTTAATTTTAAAACTTAAAAGCAAATGGTTGTCATAAACTATGGAACCACAGTACTCAAAAGATAAATGGTCTTTCTTCATGATGGGATCACTACAAAAGAGGTCATTTCAAATGGTTTGTAGAAAAATGGAGCTAAAAGATAAAGGATTCTTTTTGCTCTTCCTATAAACTTTCCGAAGTCCCCTCATATTTCACTTTTTCTGAATTGTGAGCAATGACAGAATTTGGTAAACCATGACCCATGCAACAAATATGGCGTGCTACCTAATTTTGTAAATAAAGTTTTATTTGAACGCAGCCATGTCCATTTGTGTATGTACTGTCTAGGGCTACTTTCAAGCTACAGTGGCAGAATTGAGCAATGACAACAAAAGCTACATGAGCCCCAAATATTTACTATCTGGGTCTTTACACAAAAAGTCTGTCAGTCTTACTACTGATCAATACCTTTTCCACAATTAACACATACTTAAAAAATAGTAAGTTGTATAAGCTATATTTTCTAAGAGTCAAGATAAATCATGACTATGGTAAAGCCCTCCCCAACCAGATTTGAACACAGGCAGGTTCCAGAGTAACTAAAAACTGGTATTCTCTATGACTAGTTGAAAGAAATATACTGGCATTACTAATTATATCACTTAAGTGGCTTAAGTAATCAGAGGTTGAACATTGTTGGAATATTTGGTAAGATCTAGACTCGTGGGATGACTAACTGGGGGGTATGGGAGCTTTGAAGGAAGCAACAAGATCATGGATAAAGCCATTGTGAGTCTTGCCTTGTCCGCAGGTGTTAACCTGGCCCAGGGCTTGTCTGCTCGGCGGTCATAGTCCGGGGAATCGGTGACTTCTACATATTCGTTAAACCGCAGGATTCTTCGTGCTTGTAGCTCTGCCACTGTGGGTCTCAGACTGAGCTGCAGGAGGACAGGGAGAACAGGAAGAGGTCAACAAACCATTGAACCATTGATAGCCTCAAGGTAGCACATTTTCTATAGAGAAAATTTCGAAGTTTGATTAAATAAGGTCACTTTCAGGTAACAACAACAACAAAAAGGCAGCAGTGTCTAGGGGATTTCTAATGAGAACTAGAAAGCCCTAATTTCTGTGACTGTAAAAATCATCATTGTTAGATAGGTCAGTCTTTGGCATCTGTCTGCACTGTGCGATTTTCCCACCTTGCCTAGTACTGTGATTGATTAAAGACTGTCTGTCGTCCCTGACACAGGAATGCACAGTGACACGGACAGAACTGGAATCCAAGTACAGGAAGGCTTGTTTGAGGATGGAGTTATCAAGACAAAACCCCTAAAGCTCTTAGAGATGAGAATCAAAATCTCTGTTCCTGTTAGAGAAAACCTACATATTCAGAGACGCACAGAGCAGCGGCAAAGAAACGAAACCCTAATAGCACACCTCAGCTAAGCACTTGGTTTATCAAAAGGTAGGGGGTTCAAACCTACCCAGTGGGGCCGTGAGAGAAAGACCTGGTGATCTGCTCCCATAACAATTAAGAAACAAAACTCAACCCACCACCAATGAGTCGATTCTGACTCAGAGAGACCCTGAATAGTGTTTCTGAAACTGTAAGTCTTTATGGGATTACAGAGCTTCATCTTTCTTCCATGGAGGGGCTAGTGGGTTTGAACAACCAAACTTGTGGTTAGCAACCCAATGTCTAACCTACAGCACCACAGGGCTCCTTTCCCTAGAGAGCCCTAAAGGGTCGCTATGGCAAAGAAATGGTCCAGCAACAGCCTGTTTTGGAGACTAAAGATCCAGGTCCCCTCCTGACATTTCTCCTGGATGAGAAAAGCTGATATGAAGGCACCAGGAAGGGAAAGTTGGTATAGGCCTTTGCCATTGTCCAGATGGAGAATTGCAGTTGAGTGGACACAGAACTGCTTCCAGTTAGCTGTAGCCTGTAAGACACTTCTAGTAACTTGGGTTCCTCCTTGTAGTCTTTTATCAAATTCAAACTTATAATAATATTTAACCTAACCAGTCCTCTATGTATTTGCTTTCTTCTCTTGGTCTCTTCTCAAGTCCAAGAATAAGACAGAAATGGTAGTAAAACACCAAAGAAACCAGACATGGGACAGAAACTGAACAAACCTGCCTCCCATATTGATCATCACCACCCTACTCTGGCTGTTGAAGTTCACCATTTTGCAGAATTCCTCAGTTGGGAGACGTCATAGTGTTTTCAGGTGGGTTGCTATTTTACCTACAGACTCTATTTTCAATATCGTTGTCTCTTATAGGTACTCTGTTTATAGCCAGACAACCTAAGCAATCCTCTTTGGAGCTATTCCAAAACACACTGGATTATATGCACTCCGTGATCCACAGTATTCCCTTTTCTGGGCTCCAGTTTCTTCCTCAGTAAAACAAATGGTTGAGCTAAGTAAATGCTCTAATAATTGAAGCATTCAAGGACTCGTAGCAGGCCTGAGTTCATACCCTGAGCAGGCACATGACAACTGCAGCCCTTCTATCTTCATCAAGCCCTGGCAGGCCATAGGCAGAGAGGAGAATAATCAAAAGTGCCTTCTGTTAAACTCGTAGCTCTAGTCCAATCTTTATTGTTAGCCTCTGCGGCCTTTCTGGGGTGGGTGGGGATAAGGAAATTGAGAAACACTTGCCCTAGAATTTGGACAAGAGAACAGTGACTACACAGGGAGACATTCTCCATCTAATCTTGCCTGTGGGATCTGTGCTGGTCTTGGTGTGGGTCTCACTATACATGGGCTGTTATGTATCTCTGACAGAGAGCTCTGTGGGGTACAGGTAAATCATGCTGAGGGTAAAGACAAGGGCAGCTGCCTCACCAGCATTCAGCTTGCATTATAGGGGTCTACCTCTGGTAGTGTAGTGGTTACGAATCAGGCTACGAACCTGAAGGTCAGCAGTTCAAAACTACCAGCTGTACTGCAAGTGAAAAATGAAGCTTTCGACTCCCATAAAGATTTACAGCCTCAGAACTTTGTACAGGGCCGCTAAGAGTCAGAACCGACTCCACGGCACATAATCACCATTAGACAATCTCTAGGTATTTAAGGGATAAAGCAATGAGAAGAGGCTACCTATTTCTTGAAGTCTTCTCACCTTTGTCATTATTTGACATTTAGAGACTGTTGGGAGGAGTGGGGGGAGAAAGTAATTAAGGATATTTTGACCTGGAAACAAATAAAAAAATCTATCAACATGCCATCCCAGTAACTTGCCGTGGGAATGTAGTGTATGCTCCAGCCGCCCCAGAATGCTTTGTTGTGGATCCCTAACTAGTCTACATAAACATGGGTCACGTCACACACCTATGCTATCTTTTAGTCACTGCCTTTTTCCAGATGTGGAAGGCAACAGATGCATATGAAGACTTGCCAAACAAGGATTTACACTGAGATACCAACTCCAAGAATCCTGGTCCTCAAAATGATTCTTTTACCCAAAAGTGGTGGCAGTGGGATCAGATTTGTTGTCATCAATGAGAGGACACAATCTTCTGAGTTTTAGAGTGTTATGGGTTGAACTGTGTTCCCCCACAATATGTCCTCCATGCCTGTGGTTATAATCCCATTGAGAAAAGGGCTGTCTTTGTGACGTTAATAAGGCAGGATGAGCGTCCCATGTGTCTTGACTCAATCTCTTTGGAGATACACGAGACTAGCAAGCAGAGACTAAGGAAGACATAGGCCAGGCCACATGAAGATCGCCCAGGACCAGAAGCTATAGAAGACAAGGATCTTCCTCCAGAGCCAACACAGAGAGAAAGCCTTTCTCTAGAGCCAGCCCCTTAAAAGACATCCAGACGTGCAGCTTCCGAAACTGTGAAGGTCTACCTTTCTGTTTGCTAAAACCACCCACTTGTGGTATTTCTCTTCTAGCAGCACTTGAGAACTAAGGTATAGAGATAAGTCATTTGTCGATTTGGGTAGTAGTGTATTACAGGGCAGACTAGATGAACAAATTCATTTAAAAATGACTCATCTCTCTCTGACAGGAATAAAGGCAAATCTTTAGTAAAAGTGCAACACTCATTTAATGTTTCCAAGACTACATGGAAAGCATGAGCACTTTGGGGTTTTTTTCCTTTAAGTTTTTATTGTAGATGGAGTGAAACTTTACAGGGCAGATCATCAGTTTTACATTCAACAAATCATGCACCTTGTTTCATCACAATGATTACAATCCCCTCCATGTACCATCAGTAAACAGTATTTCTCTCTATTCACTTTAGCTTCTTTTTTTTTTTTAAACACTGTTGTTGTTATGTGCCATGGAGTCGGTTCCAACTCACAGCGACCCTGTACAGGGTTTCCAAGGCTATAAATCTTCATGGGAGCAGAAAGCCTCATCTTTCTCCTGCAGAACAGCTGGTAGTTTTGAGCTGCTGGCCTTTCTGTTCACAGCCCGATTCGTAACCACTACGCTACCAGAACTCCTTATTTTAAACACTTAGGCATATATAATAATTTACACCACCAAAGGGCACATTCTGCAAGTCGGTCTCCTGGCCACCATCTCTTAGTCCCTCTCTTCCCATAGTGTGAGCACTTTTAGAAACTACTTTTTAAATGAAAAAATATGAAATCTCAATTGAGCTGGGGGAGCAGGCAATGGGAATTTACTGCTTAATGGGTGGGGAGACCCTGGGCCAATGAGGAACTCTGGAAAGAGACAGTGCTGAAAGTGGACACAATTACATTAATGCCACTGAATCATTCACTTGAAAACGGTCAAAAGGGACAGTTTTTTGTTATCTATTATGACAATAAGAGTTTTTAAACATCAGAAATTTAAACAATGACATATTAGCAAGGCTCTCTTTGGATGGAAGACTTTTGTGTATGAGTTCATTGGCACAGTGGGATAAGCACTGGACTGCTAACTGCAAGGTCAGAGGTTCAAATCCACCAGTGGGAGAAAGATGAGGTTTTTTTCTGCACCTGTAAAGATTTACAGCCTCAAGAATCTGATAAAGAATCATATGAATCAGAAGTGACTCAATGGACTTTTGTTATTTCCATATTTTAAAAAACTCAGAAAGAGTAGATGCCAATTTTTATAATCAGTACATGCAGTGTAAAAACCTTTGATTTTTAACTTTTCAAAGTTAACATACTGTGCAATTATAAATACAAACAATTCATATTGAATTTATTATACTGATTTTGAGGGCTGATTATTTAGTAAGTTCATGGCAATAGTAACTCCTAAATATCAGATTTACAAGAACTGATTGGAAGTAAAAACTAGAGTATATTTCAAAACACGTATGTTCATGAATAGTCATAGTTTCATTACCTTTCTGCTGAGTCTGCGTTTAAGTTCCATTTTTGCTTCCTGTTCTTCCTCTTCATTCTTTTCTGTAATAGAGGAAAAGGTATGAGTTAGTTACTATACACAGTAATTATAAAAAGAAAACTAGATAAGGCAACAGTTAATTGGCCTTGGGTGCCGCTGCAGGATAATGCACTGTACTGCAAAACTGGTTTGAACGTCAAGGTGGGCAGTTCAAATCCACCAGCCGCTCCTTGGAAACCCTATACCGGGTTGTTATGAGTCAAAATTGACTTAACAGCAGTTAACAACAACACATATTGATCAAAATTATTTTAAAAGTTGTTAAAAGATTCTGCAGAAAGACTGATTACTAGTTCATATGTGTTGCTGTTGCTACAGGAGTCTTGGTGTGGTGCTGTAGGTTAAGCAAAGAACTACAAGATCGGTTAGAACTGCAAGATTGGTGGGTCAAACTTACCAGCCATTCCTCAGAAACCCTATATAGAGTTACTGTGAGTTGGAATCAACTCTACGGCACTCAACAACAACAACACCAACAGCGGCAGCATGTGCTACTGTAGTTAGGTGCTGTCAGTCAAGTCTGTTCAGACTCATAGCAATTCAATGCACAACAGAACCTAAGGCTGCCTAGTCTTACGCCATCCTCACAATTATTATACTTGAGCCCATTGCTGTTCCCACTGTGCCAATACATCTTATTGGGGGTCTTCCTCTTTTACGTTGACCCACCACTTTACCAAGCATGATGTCTTTCTCCCGGGACTGGTCCCTCCTGATAATATGTCCGAAGTCTTACCATCCATCCTGGATTCTAAGGAGCATTCTGGCTGTACTTCTTCCAATATTGATATGTTTGTTCTTTTGGAAGTCCGTGGTACTTTCAATATTCTTCTCCAACACCGTAACTCAAATGCATCAAATCCTGTATGGCCTTCCTTATTCATTGCCTAACTTTCACATGCATATGAGGTAATTGAAAATAACATAGCTTGGTTCAGGCACACCTTAGCCCTCAAACTGATTACCTTTGCTTTTGAATTTTTTTTAAAGAGGTCTTGTGCAGCAGAATTGCCTAATGCAATATGTTGTTTGATTTCTTGACTGCTGCTTCCAAGAGTGTTGACTGTGAATCCAAGCAAAATGAAGTCTTTGACAACTTCAATTTTTCTTCCATTTATAAAATTATTTATTGGTCAGTGGTGAGGATTTTTGTTTACTTTACATTGAGATGCAAACCATACTGAAGACTATTCTCTTCTGAATCCAGCTTGAACCTTTGGAAGTTCTCTGTCAATGTATGGTTGTAGCCGTTTTTGAATTATCCTTAGCAAAATTTTGATTGCATGGGATATTAATGGTATTGTCCGCTAATTTCTGCATTCCGGTGGGTCATCTCTCTTTGGAATTCGCACAAATATGGATCTCTTTCAGTCAGTAGGCCAGACAGTTGTCTTACAAATTTTCTGGCAGAGATGAGTGAGTGCCTTAAGCGCTATTCTGAGGAGGCAGTTCTTCTCCAGTCATATTCTGAGTGTCTTACAAACAGAGGATCTCATCTTCTATATGACAACTGTTGTTGTTGCTAAGTGCCATAACGTTGGTTCCAACTCATGGAGACCCTGTATAGGGTTTCCAAGGAGTAGCTGATAAGTTTGAACCGCCAATCTTTTGGTTCAAACTGACTTTGTGGTCCAGTGCTTTAGCCCACAGTGCCACATCAAGCCTATAGTCTGATGCTCTCATCTTCTGACGCTATATCTTACAATGTTCTGTGCAGCAGTTTTCGGTGGCTGAACATTCAGAAGTTGTCAACCTCTCTTTCTTCCTAGTCTGTCTTATTCTGGACGTTCTGCTGAAGCCTGTCCACCAAGGTGAGCCTGCTGGCATTTAATGCCATAGCTTCCAGTATCAAAGCAACATGTAAACACTACATGATAGCCAGTTATGTTTTGTTTTTTAATGTTTTATTGTGAATTGTAGCCAGTTATATATATATATTTTAATGTTTCATTGTGAATTATAGCCAGTTATGTTCTTTTTTTTTTTTTAATGTTTTATTGTGAATTATAGCCAGTTATGGGTAATTTTTTTAATGTTTTATTGTGACTTATAGCCAGTTATGTTTTTTAAAATATTTTATTGTGAATTATAGCCAGTTACGTTTTAAAAAAAGGATCAATATCAACTGCAGTTAGTAAAGTTCACCATTTCATGACCTAATTATTTTTTATTTAAAAATTTTGTTGGTACCATGTGTTTTCAGTAATGGAAGGCATTCTGAAATCAGGAAAAGCATTTTAAAAATTGTAATTGGGCTGCTAACCTTAGAGTCAGCAGTTCAAAACTACCGGCTGTTCCGCAGGAGAAAGATGAGGCTTTCTGCTCCCGTAAAGATTTACAGCTTCGGAAACCCTGTACAAGGTCTCTGTGAGTTGGAACCGACTCCATGGCACATAACAACAACAACAATATGGATTTTGATACAATTATGTGGGACATATATGTCCCAAGTGGACTCTGTTGGAGGGTGATGGGTGAGGCCTGTTTCTTCAGATTTACAGTTTTACAGTCGCTGTGAGGCAGAACTGACATGACAGCATTTCACAACAACAACAACACAGTTCCCTGCCCGGTGAAATACAGCTGGAATAGCAGCTTCTTAAGAAACCTGAGAGGCCAAAAATGTATATGGGTGATATATGTTCCATAGGTTATGAATGCACAAAATAAATTAAGATTTTACCATCTGGCAATTATTTTGACATCAGAAACTAACTTCCTTACATTTCCCATGTTTGAGTTTATGCTTCTAAAGATGCTACAGAAGAGGAGAAGTGGAGGGAAGCTAACTGGACTGCTCTGGATCTTCTTAAGAATATTTAGTCTTTGTGAAATCTCTTACATACAGTCAAGGTTAAAACTTGAACTTGTTTTTTATTTAAAATTCACTGAGGGTTTCTTTTTTTTTTTTTTTTTGCATGTTTCCTTTCATTTTTGGTTTATCAGAAGGGCTAATAGTCGGATGTAAGCCTTCCTGGTCACCTTAAACAAATTAGAGGGACGTTCAGAAAGGAAATGCCCTGGCTCATTGACAAGTCTTGCCCTAAGTCAGCAGAGCAGAGAAAGGCAGACAATTTGGCACCGCCACAAGGAACGGCTTCTTAAACGCTAAACAACAATAGAGGTTTAACAGTACTGGATCCTGCACGAAGCCTGCCTGGTTTTAAGTTCTGCACAGAGCATTTTGTGGATGAGCTAGAAGGAGAAGAATGAACAACACAGAAATATCAGCAACTGGAGTATTACGTTTCTGAGTCTTCAGTGCTAATAAGATGGGTTTCTAACAGACAATCTTATTTTTGTGTGGGTTTGTTTCTGTTTTTGCTATTTTACATATTTCCATATGGGTGTTTTGAACATATTTAAATACATAAGATGTATCAATGGAAATGGTATCTATAGCTGCAAAACATCATAAAGTCAGATGCTAATAGTAGAATGGTAAACATATGGGTGTTTATTATAGAATTCTTCCAACTTTACTGTGTGTTTTTAAAATGTCAAAATAAAATATTGGAGAAAGAACCCATGCAGAGCTCAATGGAATAATCTATTTTTCTCTATAGAACATATAGCTGCAATTACATTTACAGCTAAATCGTATAGGAGAAGCTAATCTTTTATCCCTGTCTGGTAGAAGGTATTCTACATACATTACTTTCCTGAAAAACAAAGACTTCCCTTTTAGGGACCGCATCTTGCTGACTATTTGAGAGATTTGAAGGAAGTAGTTTAAAAATGCATAACTAAACAAATTTAATATGTTTATAAATATATAATATGTACTTTTTTGAGGGAGCAAAGAATATTAAATATGCCAGAGACCACCAGAAAAACAAACAAATCTGTCTTGTAAGAAGTACTTAGAGGCGAGCATGGTGCCATGCTATGAGGAGGGAACAGTCCTTGGGGAAGGGCATCATATTTGGCAAAGCAGAGGGTCGCCATGATGGATTGACACAGTTGCTGCCACAATGGATTCAAACACAGGAATGACTGAGGCTGGTGCAAGCCCGGGCAGTGTTTAGTTCTCTTGTACATGACGTCATTATGATTGTGAATGGATCCAATGGGACCTACTAATATCATATGTATTTTAAACTCTAGCTGCATTAAAAGACAAAAGAAAATCAAGTAGGGAATGATATGAGAGTAACGCTAAGAAATAAAATGTGTTTTGTGATCTCCAATGAAGCCCTCAGCATCTACTGCCAGCTGATGTGCGTTTAGTAAAATATGATGAACTCTAGTTTGAGAACTGCTGGATGCTTTACACTGTGAATCAGTTTCCTAGTATGTCAAGAAAACGGGATCTAGTGAAAATAACTTTTCTGCTTCCCTTGACCATATAATTTTATGCTTAAAGACCATATGCCAGGCTATCAGCACCTGAACACTAGAAATGAGTCATCTGTTTCTAGAATAACCAGGCTGAAATGAATTTAAAAGGAAGTACAAAAGGTCTGGAGTCAAATCTGAAGTTGACTTAGGTGCTTCACACATTCTCAGGCCTCCAGGAAAGAAGAGGGCATATAAATACCAACATAATACTTTAGATCAATGTGTTGCAAATTTCCTGGTTTATGAAATAGTTTCTCAAATAATCAAATTTCCATGCAATTTGGCACTGTTTGTCTCACAGAGTAGGAAAGAATTAACCAGACTTATTTCTCCCTCTGGTTTTTAAGGTGCTATATCAGGCATCCAAGAAGACATAATCTCTGTGTTTTAGGAACGTCTGGTCTGTATTTTGGCTTACTTAAAATTTAATCCCACAAATATTTTCCAGGAACCTGTATGAAAAGCCATGTGTATTTCTTGTTTTGTTGTCAAAATTAGATGTTGCTTTCATCCTTCCTCAGAAAGCTGAAACACGTTTGTTTCCTACTAGCCATGGCTCATTCTTCTTCCAAGTTGGCTCTTCTTCAGACTGATGGTCACTTAAGTTTCTTAGAAATATGCAAGTTCTATTCCAGTTATGTTCACAAAGAGGCAGAAGAAAGCAATTCACAGAAGCAATTCTATCTACTGTGTAGATGACAGTTTTTTTCATTGTTCAGTAGGCTTTACTCTCTTACAAGCAGCCTATATACATAACAGGTCAGAGGTTCGAACTCACCAGCCACCCTGTGAGAGAAAGATGTGGCAGTCGGCTTCTGTAAAGATCTAACATTTCAGATCCTCTGTGGGGCAGTTCTACTCTGTAGACCTACCAGCCGCTCCTTGGAAACCCTATACAGGTGGGCTGAGTTGGAACCGACTCACTTAACAACAACAGCAACACTACTATTATAGTACTATTCTTGCTCTTCAATATTTATACTGGACTAAGATGTTAAAAAAAAAAATATATAAAACTAGAACTAGTTTCAATTTTACAATATCCATTAATGAATTCACTGTGGTTTACATCCACATTGATACTTAAAAACAGAGTGGATTGTTTCAATTAATTTTATAGTTTTAAAATGTTTTGTTGTTAGGTGCTATCGAGTCAGTTCTGATTCATAGCAACCCTGTATAGGGTTTCTGAGGAGCAGCTGGTGAGTTTGAACCACCAACTTCTTTGGTTCAAACTGACCTTTCGGTCGAGTGCTTATCCTACATTGCCATAAAAGGACTCCAGTCTTAAAATAACAACTACAAATTCTAGCAGCTTAAGATAGTACTAAACTATAGACTAAAAACTAGAGTTAAAGAGGATACAAGGTAAAAAGGAATGGGAAAAATAAAGTGAGAAAATGACTAGAAATGTTGAGGAATCATAAACAACCCAAGAGGGAAGCCGAGTTATCATAACAAAGGAACATGAGATGGATTGAATAGTTCTTTTTACCATAATTCTGTTTTAAATTGACATATTTTTTAAACTTAGCAAGAAATTATTATTACTAATACAGAGATGTTTGAACTATTTCCTTGCAGATTCTTTGGCCTTTTCTTTGACATTTATTTGTAAGTAGATGACAACATCTTCTATTTAATATTTGGGTGAAAGAATACATGGAACATATTTTATATTTCTTAAAAACAACTGTCATGGACCACGACTCTGGTCAAAGTCACAGAATGAAACATTGATTTTAAGAAATTATCAGATAAAATATAGGAACAACTTCATATTGATGTGATTTAAATGGGCCATCTCAATCACTTGTGAAGAAACTAGTATACTATAAGGTTTCATACTGGCATATAGTTTCTAGAGGGCAACTGTTAATGGATATATAAAGAATCATTATAGAATACAGGATACTCACGTTTTAGGATATTTCTTTGCTCTAGTTCTTCAGTTGTTGGCCTCTGGCTAAGTCTCCTATGATGACAAAATGGATATACTATAAGTTACAAACAAGGAATCCTTAGTGGAAAAAGCAAAGAAAAACAACAAGCAAAGTTATATATCTTTATTTTAAAACATTGTTATGTTTTAGGTGAAAGTTTACATAGTAAATTCGGTTACATTTTTAAACAAATCTTTCATGACATTGGTTCCACTGTTCACAATCCTTCACGATAATTTTCATTATTTCATTCGGTTCATTTTGTTTCCATTAATGTAGCTTCCCTGCACCTTCTTACTTTCTCATCCTTGTTTTATGGTAAAGGTTGACCGTTTGGTCTCATATATTTTATAATTTAAGGGAGGCACAATACACATGGATGATTTGGACAAAAGGTGCTCACCAGGAGTGGCTTTGGGTGAGAATCTTGATATTCTTCTAGTCTTAATTGGCACAATGTTGTTGTTGTTAAGTGCCATCGAGTCGGTTCCGACCCATAGCGACTCTGTACAGGGTTTCTGAGGGTGTAAATCTTTACGGGAGTAGAAAGCCTCATCTTTCTCCCGCGGAGCGGCTGGTAGTTTCGAACCTCTGACCTTAAGGTTCGCAGCCCGATTCGTAACCACTACGCTACCAGAGCTCCATAATAAGCCTTGCTGTTTTTAGGCATTTGAGATTTATTCTGTATTTTTCTTCGTTTTATCTGGGACTTCCTATAGTGTTCCTACTCTGCATGGTTGGTTGTGGTAAATGGGGACCATCTAGCTCTGGTCTTAGGCTAGATGAAGCCATGGTTCATGTAGGTTATTGGTTTCTTTCTTGAGAATTTGGTTTCCTTCATTGTCTTTTGTCCCACACAGGTACAGATCCATCACTGTATCTTAAATGGCCACTTGCAAGCTTTTAAGACCCCAAATATTACTCACTAAACCAGAACGCTAAGTATTGTCTTTATGAACTATATCATGCCAAACAACCAAGTTGTCCTAAGTCTTCAAACTCACCAACCAATCTTGCAACGTATTTCATTATATCTAGTAATTAGTATCTATACTGTGGCCCCTATGTGGTTTATTATATATATATATAAGATATGTGAGGTGGATTCAAATAGTTTGAGGGAAAATTCCATTGTCTTTTAATTCCATTTTTCTACTTTTTGAAGCTCCTTGCATATGCAGCACATATATATATGCATACATATATTTCTACAGATATATCTGTCTGTCATTATTCTGTTAAGTGCCATTGAGTCAGTTCCAACTCACAGTGAGCCTCTATAGAGTTTCCAAGGAGTGGCTGGTGGGTTTGAACTGCTAACCTTGCAGTTAGGAGTCCAGTGTGTATCTTACAACACCACACCAGGACTCTACTGCATAACCATATACTCACATACATCTTCCTAAATACATATATTCATACATGTCTACCCGTGTAACCAAACACCTATTTTTTTGGTTGTTATTATTGTTGTTCCAAAATTATACGTTATAGTATTTACCAAAATTGTCCCATATTCTTATTAGTGTCTCCATTTACCCTGGAGTTGTGCAGACTTTAACCTTACTGAAAACAGAACTCAAAGATTTGAAAAATACATTTAACCAACAACTGGAGCAGAAAATGCATCAGCTTAGACTGAAGGGGACAGAAAAAGAATGACAGGAAAGAACATTGTCTGCCTCTTGGAATGCTACAGGTAGGAACGAGGCCAAAAGACTACATCTGTTGTTCTCCAGGAAAAGAAAAGCGCCATCCCCGGAGTAGCCTGGAGATCTGGACAGCTGGAAGAAACACAGGAAGCAGGGCCTTCTCAGTTTCAAGGGGTGCGGCCACTGTCTCCTGGCTCTCAAAGTATGGGGCCACAGCCTCCTAGGTTTCAGAGGCAGATCTTCACCAACTCATTTCTGGTGAGTGCAGCCATGGTTAAGGTGTGCCAGGAGGTTGGGGTCATCACTTAGAGATGAGGAGACAGGGTTACCATGCTCAAGGGACAGAATTACGGGGCCTGCTGGAGCGAAGGGAATGGAGTGGTCACACAGATCCTAGCAGAATACTGCTGCCCAAAGTCAAAGGAGCCGAGATGCTGGCCCAGTGGGTTTAGAAGGCATAGCTGAAACCCAGGGCTGATGAGCCTCCATCCAGAATCCACAAGGTGTGGCGTGTACCCAGAGTCTAAAGGTCAGGGTCAACGCTCAGATAGTCTCCAAGGACAGAAGATTATTTCCAAGCCTGAGAACAGGGCTTCAAAATGGCTTGAACAGGCTAATATATGGCTGAGGCAGTGACATTATCATAGACCCGACTTTGTAAAATAGGGATGTACTGGAACAATAAGTGGAAAGGGAAAAATTCAAGGCCCTGAAATGGGAGACTCAGAAAAGGCATAGTAAACCCTTTCAGGAGGCTGATGTGGCAGACTGGATTATTGCTGGATCTTGGAGAGTGACTTGAATTAGGAGTGATGTGGGTGGGCACCATCTTTGAGCCAGGCACCAATGTTTCTGACTGTGTCAATCAAGAGATTTGGCTGCTAGGCATCATGCATGCTGACCTTACTTTCTAGGAGACAGATTACATCTCTAATAGGGTAGTGACATATTTTTTCGTATTCCAGGACACCCACAGTTAACAAATTTAAATCTGTTCCAGTTTTGCTTCACTGGGAAAAACTAATTTGAAGCTATGATGAAAGCTAATATAAATTGTTCGGCTAGATTTTAGACTTGTTTTGTGCCTGTTATCCCTTCTTTCCCTCCAATTTATCCCATTTGTGATGGATATGTCTACTTTGGACTATTTCACCACTGTACGTTGGAAATAGATAACTTGTGGTCTAAATTTAAAAGGTTCATAGATGTAGTGGGACTTTGTCCCAAGATAGAACACACCTAAAGTCTCATTCATATTGGATTTAGATGATTCAAAAGATAAGATTTTGAACTTGGAGTTTATTTAAGACTTCTGGAATGAGGTGATGCAGTAAAATGTATTTTGGATGTGCCAATGACATGAATTTTGGAAGACCAAAGGGTGGAATATTGTGGATTGAATTGTGCCCCCTAAAATAATGTGTTGTAAATCTCAGCCTCTATGCCTATGGTTCTAATTCCATTTGGGAATGAATGTTAATGAGGAAGGCTTAGTGTAGGGTGTATCTTGAATGAATCTTCTTTTAAGATATTAAAGAGATTAAATACAAACTAGGAAGCAGAGATGGGGTAAGATGTTGGGAGCAGCTGAGCCAAAGGTCCCTGACTTGGAGGTAGTTTAACTGAAGGATTGCAATTAAACAGTTGTGGTCCAAAAACTTTGGCTGCTTCCAAGTCAAAGCCCCCCACCCCACCCCCATGAGGAACTTGCAGGGCTGCCTCAGGGGACAGGGAACTTGCAAGTTCTTTCCTTGTATTCAGCTATGTCTCCGGCTCAGCCTGCTCAACATTCTAGCCACCCCTATCTCTGTTTCCCTAGCAACTACATTCTTCTGATAAAGTCCTGCTTACTGCATGCATCAAAACACCAGATGTTATTCTTTTCCCTGCCCCTAAGCACCTCCCTTTGAGCTGCGTATAAAATAAATTCGCTACCTAGGTCTGTGTCTCAGTATCTCCATCAGAGTGCTGTGTCCCACCTGGTCCCAACTATACTATATTTCAAATGTGTCTTGTGTCTTTTTATTTCTAATCTCCCATTGCCCCTAGTCGGGTTTAATCTCTCCATGCAGGTTGCGGAGATAAGGCAATTGTCGGACACGGCAGTTGGCCCTAGTGTTGGCTCCAGCAGTAAGACACATGCCAAGTCACATGAGGACAGCCATGAGCAGAAGCTCAAGGAGACAAGAACTTTCTTCCACAGTTGGCAGAAAAAGAAAGGGACCTCCTAGTGCCAGTACCCAGAATTCAGAGTTCTAGTCTCCTAAACTGTGATAAATGAATTTCTGTTTGTTAAACATCCTTGTGTTATTTCTGTGATAGCAGTGCTAGAGAACTAAGACATATAGAGGCCAAAGTTTATCAGTGGCTACTAAGAATGGGAGGAAAAGAAAAAAAAAGCACCATTGGTCACGGTATAGTTTCTATTAATGGAGGGGGAAAAATTTGGAAACAATAGTGATACTGTTTGTAAAACAAAATGAATGTGTGCAATGTCAGTGAATTGTAAACGCAAAAACTGTTGAATTAGCATATATCTTCTTATATGTATTTTTACCACAACAAAAAAAGCAAAAAAGTCTAGTTCTGTTAAAAATGCTATCATATAATTCACAATCAAATAAAAAAAAAAAAAAAAAAGATATGGCATGTATAGTTATAGAGGCTTTTGATCTTTTCTGGAATGGGGTGGGATTCCAATGTATAACACACACAAAAGAGGAACTATTCCAGTTGGATGGTTAGATCTGGGATGGCTAGTTCGCTCCCGTTTCTACACCAGATACATGCCCGCACTTCTTTGGCTCTCCCCTAAGTAGCCTGTGTACCATCTCTAAGGTATCCTGGAGAAGCAATGAGAAAAAAACAATGCTTTACAGTGTTCCACACTGCCAACTTCTCACAATGCTCTTAATCAGTCTCCTGGATTTCAGTGTTTTGTTTGTTTCAATTTGTCATGACTGTAAATACCCTTGTAATAAACATCTTTTTAAAATAATTTTCTCTCCTAATTTGGATTACTTCCTACTTTTATAGTCTTCCAAATGAAATTACCATGAAAAAAATAGACTGCTTTAAAATGATTTTTCCTATTGTTAAAGTGTTGTTGATAGTTGCTGCTGAATTGGCTCCAATTTATGCCGAGTCTACAGACAACAGAACACAACGTGGCCTGGTCCTGTGCTACCTTCGTAATGACTGCTAGGTTAGGATCCAGGGTTGTGGCTATTGTGGTAACCACTATTCTTCAGAAACACTACAAAAGAGCCTATGTATATATGCCCTGTTTCCCCAGAAAGGCATCAACATTAGGTTATGTTTTTTTAGAAATCGTTTCTCTTAGTTTAATAGGTACAATATGATTTTAATTAATAATAAAA